TTCTGCTGGTCCCAGCAATGAAGGATAGTGGACTCTGGGAACTGCACGGTGATCACTGATAAAGAAGATATTACAACAAGGATTAAAGCTTACATTCAGGCTGGAGCTGGAGCATTTCTTAACTGCAAAATGGAGAAAAATCAGGGTTTTGAAATATTATTACACAAGGGTATGAGGCAACCAATTGCAGCTCTCTTCACCCTCCCAAGAGACAAACTGTAGCTCACAGAGGTTCAGTAACTTCCCCCAAATCCCCCAGTTAACATGCAGCTGAGCTGGGATTGGAACCCAGCTCTGATTTGAGGCCCCTTTGCACCACACTCTGCTGCATCATCCCAGCAGCTTCCCATGGATGCACAAGGTTCACAGTCTGTTCAGAACAGCAACAAGAACAAAAATGCAGATTTCTCTATTTTAGAAGTTGTGAGCAGGTAGTTGTTCTACTTCAGCCAGCAAACCCTAAGGACTCAGCATATACCAAGATGGTTAGTGTTGGAATCAAATAAAGCATGGCAGTATGCAAAATCAGTCAGTGTGTCCGGAAAATCAGGCATAAATGGTAGGTAATTCATTTATTACTTTTACAAAAACAAAGTTTTAAAAATTCTTTCTTCTTTGTTGGTTTTTACACATTTTTAATCAAGGTGAGCCTCTGTAGTTTTATTTGATTTATTCTGGTTCTCCTCTCCTACCATCTATCTAACTCCTCCCTCCCACCAACTATCTATCTCCCTCGTACCATCTCTCTAACTCCCACCTCCCATACCAACACACTCCCATATTAGAGGATCATTTAGGGCCACTGACTCAACCCTTTGTCTGGTTGGCATTGTTTGTGACCCATTTCGCCCTCACCGGGGCCCCTGCTGGAATCTCCCACCCCCAGCACATCCGGTTCTATCCCCTGCCCATCCTGACGCATCTCTGGTCGGGAGTCCAGCCTCCAGCAGACGCTCAAGTACCGAAGGCTACAGCTGGACCTCTTGGAGATGACAGCGTGGTCCTCACACCAACGAAATGATGGGAAGCACATAAGCTGAGGGTGTGGATTTGGGAGAGACCTCTGAGATCCAACTTGCCCCTGTCTCGGAGGGTGAAATGAGACAACCTGCCTAAGGAAACCCAGCTAGACAGAGAAAGATGGATGAGGACTGAAATTTCCTGTCTCTTGATCTCCACTCTCTCCACTATTCCATAATATGTAAAAGAGTAACATATTTATCTATTGACAGATTACTCGTATTCTCTATTTTTTTTGAATAGGCATAAGCAGCAGCTTTCAATAAAGGATGAATGCTTAATATAATTTAAACAGAGGTAAAAAGAATAGAGGCATATATTTAAGGGAGTGGGTGGGGAGTTCTCAATATGAAAGAGGCAACCTGGGAGTACAGTACTAAATCTAAATACTTAGATTTATTTCTGAGTTTCCTGGAGGCCAAGCTGAAAATGGAAACACTCTGAGTTACTTAACTCTCATTATCTAATAAAAGAAAGCATTCGAGGTTTATCATAAAAACTTCATCCAAATGTTAAACTTGAGTGAAATTGTCAGCTATATTACAATGGATAGTGTCTTCAATAATACTTTTATAAAAGATTTGGGGCAATTCTTGATAGAGTTCATGCTAAATCTTGGTTCTGTCTAAAAATCAGCATTTCTTTGGGAACCTAAAGCCCTAGGGTTTAAGTATGTTGTAACTTGATTTGATTCAGGATAAAGTTTAAAGTCTTTAAAGCATTGTTATCAAATATTAATGTGAAAATAATTTACTGGTAAGGTGTACTTTTCTAATGTAGGTTCACTGTCTTCCCTTACACTCATCCCTCATTCTATAGGTCCAGGATAGAGCCTAAGAATCTGCATTATTAACAACTTCTGGGGGCACCAGTGTAGCTCAGTTGGTTAAGCCTTTGACTCTTGGTTTCAGCTCAGGCCATGATATCAGGGTCATGAGATCGAGCCCTGCATCGGGTTCTACAACTCAGCTCGGAGTCTGCTTGAGAGTCTCTGCCTCTCCCTCTCCCTCTGCCCCTCCTCCTGCTCCCTCTCTCTCTCTCAAATAGAAAAATAAAATCTTTAAAAAACCTACAAAATACAAGCTCTGGTTCTGACCCAGGTGACCAGTAGGGCACATTTGAAGAAATACCAGTCTAGAAGAACAAATTATTCCTATGCTCCTTAGCTTTGATCCACCTCTTTGAATATAAATTTTCTCCACTTGGTTTCAATTAGCAGCCAATAGCCTGAAATTGATGTTTCAGGGAAGACAGAGAAAACGCATAGGCTCTAGGTTGTTGAGATTCCTATGCTTTAAATTCCAGGCACATAGTAAGTAAAGATGGGGTCTGCTTAATAAACTCAGATCTTGAGGAGTGAAGGGGGCCATGAAAAAGGCTGGGGATAAGTGCAAGAGGAGCAGTCACAGGGGCCAGCCTGGAAACTCCAAAGCTTACCTTTGCTGCTTTGCCATTTTTCCAAGGCCCAGCCCTGTTTGGGCTTTGCAGTGCACAGGGCAATTTGTGCCTCACCTTGCTGTCTTTGCCTACAGTCTATGCAAAAACCTTCCTGGAAGTCTGTTCTGAATCAGAGAGGGAGGCCTAAAGTGGGGGTCCATTGGGGTCTGTGGATTCCTAAGGATTCATGGTGGATTTCAGGGGCCCTGAATTCCCTGAAATTATACATGAATATTTTGTGATTATATGCATATGTATATTTCTGTGAAAAGAGGTTCCAAAGACAACTCTCATCAGATGCTTAAAGGGACCATAAACAATCCCAAAGAATGCAGAGTCACTGGGAATTCTTGATGCGGCTGAAGGTGCATCGAGCTCCACGTTCATGTTGGTGTGTTCCATCACACGGCAGCCTAAGGTCAGTTAAAAGCTGACAACCTCCTTGGTGACAGCTAGGTCACTAAATATCTCTCCATAGGAGCCACTCTCCCTGCCCAATCTGAGGATTATGGTAGCAAAGCTGTCAGGCTTAATTTTGACAAATTGTTTTGGGGAGTTAGTCCCCTTTAATTGCTCGTGGAAATAGTAATTTTAGGTGACAAGATTATTATATGCTGCTTGTTAATGGGTCCTTCAGGGTCAAGAAAACACCACTGGGGTTACTATGACCTGTTCTTTTCCATCTTTGGCATTCCCCTTGAAATCACCAGAAAAGACATTTAGTAAAGTCAGCTCCCACTCTCTGAAAAGTACAGAGCACAAGTTTCCTTTTATCCTTTTGCCAAGTGAAGGATTAGAGAAGGACTTTCAACTTTTCCCTGCTACTGCCAGCCCATGTCAGGCTTCAGAAACTTGCTGATCATTAACTCGAAGAACTGAGGAAGTTTCTAGCCTTTCCCTTTGCTTATTTACCTGTTCAACCAAGTTGCTTTACAAGCGAGTGAGTTTTGAATAAATAGGGTCCTAGGTGATAAAATATTTGACTCAGCTCAAGTCGAATATTTTCATCGCTTTTCACTTCACTGAACAGGAGGGTCAGGTTGACCGGGAGGTCTGGGTAATGGTTCACCATGTGCCTGATCAGGGGAGCAGTGGATGGAAGGCAGAGAACACTTCTCAGCACTTTAGGAGGCTGGGAATTGACTGGCTGTTTACTAACTGTGTCATTTGGGGCCACTTGTTTGACCTCCTTAAGCCCTCATTTCATCATCTGTCAAAGGGGATAAAAATAATAGCTAGCTCATGGTATGGCTGGCCGTAAGGACTAAATGATCACATAAACACCCGGCATATAACAAGAACTCAACCAAACAAAATGATAGCATCTCTTATCATTACTGTCCATTTCTCCTTCCCAAATCCAGATCTTATTAAGAAGTCTGAATTAGTGGGGAGGTCAAAAAAATAAATATTACATCCACACCCAACTTGAGCTCCATGCCTTACAAGCTTGTTAACGTAGGCATATCTAATCCCATGTACACCAAAATGTATAACTATCTAAAATGATGCAGATGAGGGGCACCTGGTTAGTCAGTGAGCATGTGACTCTTGATCTTGGGGTCATGAGTTCAAGCCCAACATTGGGCGTAGAGCTTACTTTAAAATAAAATGAAATAAAATAAAATAAAATAAAATAAAATAAAAATAAAATAATGCAGATGAAGATAGAAATTACTACATTGCTATCTATTTGATTTCAATGTGTTTAACCACGTAACTTGAAATCAAAGATTTCATGTGACATTGACAATAAAGAATATGTAGGGGACCTGATTTTTCTCTCTGGTTCTTCTAGATGGAAAAAACTAAAGAAACTACCTTCATGGTGACTTTTCAAAACTGAGAATTTCTTTCTTCTTCTTTTTTTTTAGAAAAAGATGTTTGTTCTTCTCCCCTGGTTTTATATCTATCTTAAAATTTTTATTCCTGTTCTTTAGAAACTAAATTCTAAAAAATTTGCTCCTTCATGGTGTTGGCACGTAGGTTTATGCATTTCATTTCATATTTTCCTTCTCAAATTTCATAAGGGTCAGGGATCACATTTATTGGTATTTCCTGGGTTCTGTGTTCATACCTCTTCTCTATTTACTTTACTCTTCAGCAAGGGCTGAAGCAGGCAAACTCAAATATTGCACCACAGAGAAAATGTCATCTCAGGAGTAATGTCTAGCTCTCCAATAATACCCTCAAGTAAGAAGATCCTTCTTTAAGAACTGGCAATAGGAGAGAAAGCTGGGAGCTTTGTGTGTCTAGGATGGCAAAGATCTCTCCTTATTCTTGTCCTGAACACAAAGCTTCCCTGAGCCTTAAAAAGGAGAAAGGAGAGTGCTTAAAATTATCCCAGTTAACTTATTTAGATGGAGTGTTTGATGGAGTCCACAGAAATATGAATTGTGTGGAAGGCTAGAGGGTTCAGCAGGTTACATCTATGTAACAGAAAATAATACAAAGCACATATGCTAGGGAGATTGGGATATTTGTCTGGTTTCTATACAAAGATAAACCCGTTTGTTCAGTAATCATGTTACCTACTCTTCTAGCTCCTGTGGTCCAGGTGACACAGCTTGACAGACTTAAATGTGACCAGCTTCGCTTGCTCCATGAGCAATAGCCTCAGCCCCTAATCTCCAACTTCATCAAACAGCAGCTTGGATTTCATGACCAGATGTCATAACTGTGCAGCCCAATCCTTCCCTGTAACTTTGTAGTTCAAGTTGTAATGCTGAAGTCATATATTTTTTGTGACATTTTTATATAGTTCTTATCCATGTGCTAAAATCATAATAGAGTGGTTTTATAAAACCCCTTTCTCTTGAAAAAATGAATTTATTGTAAAGGAATTTAATGCTTAACATTAAATTAAATTAAAATTTCATCTTAGAATAACTGTTAGTCTATAATTAAAAATTTAAAACTCCTGGATTGTAACATTTGGAGTTTCATATGCAGCATTAATTAAGCTCACATCAAAATAGATTAGCCACTTGTAGATACAGTTTCCAGTCACTCTGTTTCTGAAACCAGTCCAGAAATGTTGGAACATTGTCAGGCACTTACTAGGTGTTGGACAAGTGACAGAAATTGATGATGCACACTTAGAATATCTACATAAAAAAAGAGTCAGTGTAATGTAGGTCTATATGAGGAGGTCACCCTTCAGGAAATTTGACCATTCTTGTTTTCTACCCCCCTGCGTGATTTCAGTGCACCACGGAATAGGATTAGAGGCTTATGTTTGCCTATGTTTGTGATTTTTAGCATGGAATATAACAATTCTGGGCCACAATATAAATTCAGATGAAAACCCTAGGTAATGCAAAGAATGATCTTGATTTCAGAACTCACAAATGACTAAATTACCTTCTAGCCGTTTTCTTGTCTCTTGAGGAAATCTTTCAAAGAGGCTATATTTTTAAATCTCATTTCAATATTAACCTAATAGGCTGAGGAATTAATAACAACTGAGCTTAGACTTGAGTTCAGGATGTGAAAGTCGTACTTTTGTGTGACTGTGCTCTGTATGACTTGCTGCCCCCTGAAGGGTTTCTATTTTTTTTTAAAGATTTTATTTATTTTATTTGAGAGAGAGAATGAGAGAGAGAGAACACATGAGAGGGGGGAGGGTCAGAGGGAGAAGCAGACTCCCTGCTGAGCAGGGATCCCGATGCGGGACTCGATCCTGGGACTCCAGGATCATGACCTGAGCCGAAGGCAGTCGCTTAACCGACTGAGCCACCCAGGCGCCCCCCCTGAAGGGTTTCTAAAGCATGGATGGGGGATGGGTGGAGGATGGCTGACATGCTTGTATAGTGTGTAGTGTTGTGTACAGATTTATATGGTCGTGGCTCAAATAAAGCTTAATTCCAATCATAATAAAGATTATTTGCAACATGGGTGACAGAGTGGAGGGGCAGGGTGGGTTTCCCTGTTGGTGGTCAACATGGTCTAGGCTGGTGGAGTCTGCAGGAGGCTGCTCCTGCTCAGATAAAAAGGATTTTCTCTTTTTTTCATTTTTTTATTAAAGATTTTCATTTATTTATTTGACAGAGAGAGACACAGCGAGAGAGGGAACACGAGCAGGGAGAGTGGGAGAGGGAGAAGCAGGCTTCCCGCCGAGCAGGGAGCCCGATGCAGGGCTCGATCCCAGGACCCTGGGACCATGACACGAGCAGAAGGCAGACGCTTAACAACTAAGCCACCCAGGCACCCCAAAAAAGATTGTCTTTTAATCACTGACAACAAACAACCCCCCTGAGGGGTGCATCAGTTTGAGGACTTCTTTTGGCAATTGATAGGCTTGGAGTGTGATTTTTAAGGTACCCCAATAATCGACCGTCAGATACAAAGATCAGAGCTGAAAGTAATGTAGAATAACACTGCAGTCATTAGTGAGCTTTTCATTTTGTTTCATATCTTTGTAGACCACGTGGAATACTTTGTAGTGCTCTCCATAAGCCTTCAGGTTTAACTTTTACCTGTCAGATCCTGGAAAATTGCCTTTATTTTCCTTTTTATTGGGAGAAGAGGAGGTTATGAAAGAGAGAGAAGAAGAATTACAATTAATCATCCTCTCAGCTCCTGACTAGGAGTGTGCGGGTATGTGTGCCCGCCCACATAAGTTTGTGTATGTGTGTTTTCCCCACTAGTTATTTCCCATCTCAGAAAATAGTATCAGCTGAACAAGCCAGGATCCTGGGAGACCTCTTTGATGATTCTGTCTCCTTCCAGTCAATCGACAAATCCTATTAATTGATTCTCCTAAATATTTCTCCAATCTGTCCACCACCTTCCTGGTCCTCAAACTGGAGCCCTCCCAGCCAGCCTCACCCACAGCTTCCCACAGCCCTTCTACAACCTCCTCAAAGTACTCACCACACCTTGCAATTATGTTGTGATTTGGGTCATTATTTGATTAATGTCTACTGCCTAGATTATAAGGTTCACGAGGGCAAAGTCTACCTGTTTTATTTACTGATGCATCCCAAGAACCTAAAACAGTGCCTCTCACATACTAGGTGCTCAATAAATATTCGTTAAATGAAGAAGGAATCCTCTTGTTGGCATGTCCTGTATAAACTCTTACAAAATGCCCAATCTTTGCAAGACTCATCCTTACCTTAGTCAGTCCCTTGTCGGCCGGGCTCCCCCGATTGTCCCTCCCATCTCACTTTTTGGGGGAGGAAAATCCTCTGTACCATCAGTGTAGAGTTGTGGCGATGGCTAGAACCTCTTGTTTTCCCCTATAGCATATGGCTTTCCCTGCTGTCACAACCAAATCCAGATTCATCACCTTCAGGAAGGTCTCCAAGCTTAATTCCCCCTCAGCCCAGCATAACTTTCCTTCTTGTTCCCTTCGAACTAAGGTTACACTAGGAAGATACTGATTTGTTCTCATTCCTATATTGTGTTGAGAACATTCATCCTTTTTCATGAACTTGGCTTCTGACCCCCCAGCATGTCCTCATTTGAAAGGCCCATGTCTCCCTTCTCCCCTTAGACTGCCACAGAGAAGTCCTCTGTAGGTGTTCTCCGACTGCTCCCCTGTGCCTGCCTTGTGTCTGCTCACTGGCTTTTCACTTCACTCCTAATTCCATCTTCTCCACTCATCTTGCCCTCCTTGAACACTCTTCAAGAAACAGATAGATAGGCTTGCAAACACTCTCTCCTGGTTATTCCTATGTATGGTGGTTTGTGTGCATGTTTTGATATCTTTGTTCCTTTGTTCATTCATTCATTATAAATATATATCCCTTCTTCTTCCCTAAAATAATTAGAAACAGTTTACAAGGATAATAAAAGCACATCAAAATAGCATACATTCAAACAAGTGGGGAAGAAAAGGGAAACGTGAGGGGAAGGGGCATCCCTGGCCCAGAGCCTGGAGCTGATACCAAGATGCATAGATGCATTCCATACAGTCTATTCATTGGCAGATGGCAGGTCCTAAATTGGCTTTGGGCTGGCTAGCATTGCTTCATAAAGAAAAAAATTTAGTGTCTCTAAGATAAAATGTGAACTAATAATTAGGAGAAGAACAACTAGTCCCAATTCTAAGAGGTCACAGTGTAGTATAGTGAGGAGCATGGGCCCTGGAGCAGATGGCCTGAGTGTGAAGGTGGGGTGGGCGGTGGTCAATGCACCTACTCCAGGTGGTTCTCAACACTGGTACACATTACCATCGCCAGGGAAGCCTTTAAAAAAAACACGATTTGGAGCCCTTCCTCAGGCCAAATAAATAAGAATCTCTGGGAATGGGACTGGGAAGCCCTATTTAAAAATTTTCCCCTGGTGATTTGCTGCCAATGATTTAGAAGAATGGATAGTCTGTGAATATGGCAGGGTATTCCTCTAGGTGAACTTCTCCAAGTTCTTAGATGGTGTCTCCCCTGGAATAGTTTATAAAGATCAAGCTCTTTCACTTGACTCTTATTCCTCAATGTGTGTGCATACACACACACACACACACACACATATAATTGAGATATAATTGACAAATACAGTTGTATATATTTAAAGTGTACAATGTGATAATTTGATATACAAATACATTGTGAAATGATTACCACAATCAAGTGAATTGACACCATCCACTACCTCACAGTTACCTTTTTTACAGTAGTCAAGATATGGGGAAAAAAAACACTTAAGTGTTGATCAATGAATGAATAAAGAGAATGTGGCCTGTGCACAGAATAGACTATTATTTAGCCATAAAAAGGAGGAAATCCTGCCATTTGTGACAACAGGGATGAAACTGAAGGGCATTATGCTAAGTAAAATAAGTCAAAGAAAGACAAATACTGCATAGTAATACTTATATGTGGAATAGTTAAACAAAAAGAAGTCAAACACCTAGACAAGAGAACAGAATGGCGATTACCAGGAGCGGGCGGGGGGGGGGGGGGGGGGAGATGAAGGAAATGGGGAGATGCTGCTTAAATTGGTTAAAGGATACAAATTTTAGTTACAAGATGAATACATTTTGGGGATCACAGCATGGTGATTGTATATTTAAGGCTCACTCTTATAGCAAATTTCAAATGTCCTCACCACAGAATGTATTTTTTTTAAAAAGGAATTTTTGTATCCCCTCTGAAATGTAGATGTTGAATTTCTGATCCCCAGGGGGGCTGTATTTGGAGATGGGGCCAGTAAGAAATTATTAAGGTAAAGGAGAGCGTAGTGTAGGGCCCTGGCTGCATTGGATTAGTGTCCTTATAAGAAGGGACACCAGAAAGCTCCTTCTCTTTCTCTCTGTGTCCACACTCACCAAGGAAGGACCATGTAAGGACATACTAAGAAAGTGGCCATCTGCTCACCAGATATGGGACAGGCTGGAATCTTGATCTGGTACTTCTAGCCTCCGGCATTGTGAGAAAATAAATTTCTGTCGCTTAAGCCACATGATATTTTGTCAGCTTGAGCTGATTAAGACATATATTTTATATGTGTGTATATATGTAATGAACTTATGTGTATAACTCATTCACTCTTTTTTTATTATGTTATGTTAATCACCATACATTACATCATTAGTTTTTGATGTAGTGTTCCATGATTCATTGTTTGCGCATAATACCCAGTGCTCATTCATTCACTCTTACAATGTAC